AGCAGCTTGACTTCCGCCTGTCCGCCGAAAGAGCCCAGATCAAGTGCTTCCGCAGTCAAGAGGAGGCCCAGACTGAGGGCCAGGCCCTTGAGTGAGACACCTCTGGATGTCATGATGATGTAGACTGAGTGTTCATACAACACGTTTCAATGAACAAGAAAAGCGCAATCAATTTCCCCAGCGAGAAAGACAGTCTGATGAAGAGCGTAATGATACCGAGTGGGACGAGACATTCACGACCGGACGATGGTCGAGAGGCGCGGAGCGCCAATTCCCGTACTGTACCTGGCTCACAGCTGCGGGCATCAGGGGCGGCCTGGCAAACATGCCGCCAGGTTTGTAGGCGAGCAAGGCGAAATCAATAAGAAACTCACTTGCTGGAGTGTCAGCTCCGGCGCGATGTATGTGCCAAGATGAACGAAGGATGAGGTTGAGTTTGTCAAGGTGGGTCAACGCGAGGACCCTGCCGAGCCGGGACGCCACTAAATTCCGCCCTGCATTTAGCCGCCGAGCACCTCCATCGTTTTAACCTCTATCAGCGACCTCCGACACTATCTCGTTGATGCAGGTACGCCCTGCAGCATGCGCCTAGGTTGTGAACGCAAATGAGCTGGCCCGTGAGTGGTGGATTCGTACGTACCTGGATGGGATTCTACCATTGTCAGGCCGATACGCTGATGGTACCTGGGTAGGTCTCCACCAAAGACACTTTGTCTTGGGTAGCATCGCGTACATACAATGTTGCCTGCCTCATCCGACTTAGGCTTTTCGCCCCCATATCAGACGGGAACGTTCATCTAGTTCTCACAACCGAACTGTCACCCTGCAGACTACCGGGGGGAATTCATTGACGATATCTATATTCCGGTCTTGGCTGACAATTGTGATGCTGCGTTGAGGCGGCGAAGGGACATCTCGACATCCGGACGCCTGATCATCAACCGCCTTTGGCTAGTTCTTCTCCCGTCTCTTCCGAAGCTTCCCTTGCTTGTCCATAGTCTATGAGCCTAGCTCACACGCTCGCAACGTTGGTCATTCGCCCTACGCCTCACGCTCATTCTTCACTCATGTCTCTCGTTTAGTCTGGCAACACCAATCGACATGATTATCAAGTTAATATTGGGCCTCTCGGTCCTGATCAGCTCGACGAATGGCTACGTTCCACACCACGCACACCATGGAAGACATGCCAGAAGTGGAAGACTATATCAACGTTCAGAAGCTGCCTCATCTGTCAACTTATCCTCCTCGCCGACACCGCCCACTCTTCGCAAGCGGGATGATGATCCAAGCAGTATGGAGTGGATCAAACGCTGGGCAGCCATCGGCGATAGCTACACAGCAGGCATCGGTGCTGGAAGACCTCTCGGCCACAGGATCACCGCGGACGAGGTAGCTATCAGAGTGCCGAGTGGGCTGGAAGAGGTTCGAGACAACTGGAAGTGTTCCAGATATGACATGGCATACCCCAAGGTCATAGAGGCACAGTTTGGTGCGCACATCGAAAAGGACGGCGGCTTCCAATACCTCGCCTGCAGCGGTGATCGTTCTGAACAAATCTACCAGCAGGCGCAGGCCCTAGAGGGCAAGCTCGATTTCGTCACTTTCACCTCTGGTGGAAACGACCTTTGTCTCGCCAAGATGATTGCAGATTGCATCATGCTGCCCTACGGCAAAACATCCGCCTGCGAGACCGTCATCGCAAAGGCACAGGAAAATGCCAAAAACATCATCACCGACAACATCTTTCAGATTCTGGAAGCCCTCAACGAGAAGATGAACGAGGACGGCATCGTCGTCGTGAACAGCTATGCTCAATTCTTCGACACACAGGAAGACAACTGCGATCGCCAGTCGTGGGACTTCTTCTGGTTCCTCCCATTGGGTTCTTCGTACCGAGCTCTCACTATCGAACGTCGCCACGTCTTCAATCAGCTGGTGCTTGACATCAACCAAGCGATTCGCGACGCCGTTGACAAAGCCGCCAAGAGTGATAAGATCAAGTACAAGGTTGGCTACGCTGATTGGGATTACTGGGTCTCGAATGAGGTGGACGCCCGGATGTGCTCGCCGAGTAGCAATGGCGACTATCCAGATCCAAAGCAACCGAACATGCACTTCATCAAGCCCGACACGCACCCTTGGGATGAATGGCAAAATGATTTTGAGCGGTCGGAGCTACGCAAGCGCGACATGGATGTTGAGGAGATACTGAACTCGACGAGGCTCTCCAACTCGGAGAAACGCCAGGTAAATCGCATCAAAGCTATGATGGAGGCTCGCGATCGAAACCTTGAACGTACACTCTACGATTCCATCCTTTACAAGTCACCTGATCCACGTGGTGCCGTCAGGCACAAGCTTGACGCCCGTGCTCCCTCACCACCAGGCTGCCCTGGGGATGGTGGGTTTGATATGACCTTTGGCATGGGCATGCCCGACACGATTGGCCGTAACGTAAGTACCAGCTGCATCTAGTCACAACTATGCCAAGGTTCCTTGACTGACATTTGCAGTTCCATCCCAACGAAGCCGGCCACCTGACCATAGCCTCCTTCGCTCTCTCAGAACTCATGGACCTGCGCGCCATCGTTCTGGGCGTCGACTCACCCGCCTGCACCGCCGTCAAAGACGAATTCACATGTTTCTCCAAGACAGGTAGCAAATTCTACGTCAGTGGCAACCGCACCAATGAGAACTACGAGGGGTTCTGCAAGGAAGTCCAAGACAAGCACGACAAAAACAAGATCAACTGGAGTTACTCCAAGACCTACGACGAAGGGACACCAGAACAGCACGACTACGTCGTCACCCTCAGCAATGGTGTTTCGGGATTCGACAAGGACGAGTGCGTGGACTCAATGAAGAAGATCATGAACTCATGCGACACATCCGACAACCCCATGAACTGGAAGGGTGGTGGCAGATACATTCGCAGCGGCGGAGACTACAAGTACGAGCTCAACCCCCGCCGCAGTAACCGCCCCTGGCCGCCGCCAAAAGCGCCATATGGCCGCTGCGAGGGCTGGTATAAGGGAACTCACGGACGCTACAAGGTCGAGGGTGCTGGCTTCTCGACCTGGGATTACGGAAAAGATACTCTTCGGCCTAACATGAATGGCTGCTATGGCCTTGGTACAACCTTTTGGAAGTTCGAGTACTTTGACAATCCGGCTGATCATGATGGGCACGAGTGGTATGCGACGTTTAGTACGCCCATTTGGGTACGTGCAAGGTGTTGGGCGAATAACAAGATTGTCAAGGCGGCGGGTGGATGGACGAATGGGTGTAAGGGTAATGATTGAGGTGTTCCTTTGCGCTTTGTATATACTATCAAACCACACCAGTGCTTGCTTAGTTGCATTGCCAAGGCAGACTATCATGAGTGCTTGCGAAATTTGGCCCAAGTATCAAGACTTCTTCACATTCTCCAACACTCAATCACATGACGAGCTACCCCCGGCTTCCTCATTATATGCGATTCGCATGCGAGAAGGTACCGTGAATGAGTTATTCATGCCAATCTAGGAAAACGCTTGAAACCCTAGAGACTACGTTGACATTAGGTCACCTTTCTTGTAAGCTTGTGAATTGATGTAGTCTGCAAACCTGTTCAGCCTTTTTCTTGGATAAGGTAGGTTTATCAACTCGAAGTACCTCTCATCCTAATCACTATCCGAATCAAGTTCCATATCCGACGATTCCTCTACCGCAGGCTCTTGTTCTTGCTCATCCCCAGATCCCACTTCTGGCCTAGATTCCGATTCTTGCTCGTGATCATATGTGTATTCACCTTGCAGATACGCAATCCTGTTTCGCACCGTTTGCTCCGTGTCTTTGAGTTTCTCGATGCGGTCGTCATGTCCCTCGTCAGCGTCGTCGCCGTATTCATCGCGCGCCTCTTCGCGACCCCTGCGTTCGCTACTTTGCTGTCAGCCTCGGTTCTCGTGGAAGCGTTGTGGTCTACTAGGTAGTTTTATAGCAGAGGCGGATGGTGGTGGCTCATCAGAGGATGTCGTGGTAGTTGAGAGGGTTGGAGGCTTACGCTTCCATTTCAGCAACCATCTCTTCATTGTTGGCTTGCTCATTCGTCATCCACTCGTCCTTATCAGTATAGCCTTCGTCTCGCTTGGCCTCCCAGTTCTGCTGATGCTGTTTGTAGTCATCCTCGTTGCCGGACATGATGGGCGTTTAGTACTTGATTGACTAGGTGGTGATCGTAGTCAGTATGGTTTTCTGCGTTCTTCGAGTTCGCTGACTGGTTGCTGTATTGTCGATAGAAAGAAAGGACGACGTCGGAAGGCTGAGCGACAATCTTATACCCCTCTTCCATGGCACCAGGCTGAACTTTTAGGACGGGCTTTTCCCTACGAACTAGGCTGGATTGAGACATTCCTGCATGGAACATGGCAGAGATGTATGCCTTTGAAGTAATAGTAAGGGGACCCACAGCCGCCCGGTGACAATTCGATGAGGCAAGGTAATAGTTGACGCCCGCTGCCTTTACAGGCCGGAACTATCTTAGTCTCTGTACGCGCGCCTGCAGACTTATCAAAATGGCCAAGGATGAGCGAAAAATGGCCATGTTCTATGCACTTTGAAAGGCTTTCTGCATATGTGGGTGAGGAAAAGCCTGACGTTTCTGGCGGGTTGAAGCTTGCGCTGTACGACTATCCTATGACAATGCTTTGTGCATAGTGCGGCTGGACAACAAGGTTGACTTTTAATGGCGAATGCTCGAACATGACGTGCTTGGTGCACAAGACAATAGCAGACTCGCGCCTGATCACGATTGTAGGGAGGTGTAGAGTGGTACACCTGTCTGTCACGGTCACTAAGCTTGGAGTTCACCGAGTCCATATAACATGAGAGAATAGAACCATATTGAGAGTCGTAAATCGCTAATCATATTCAGTCCAACGCCATGCTGATGCTGAGAATCATGCCGTGATATAGTACAAAGTCTTGGTATACACATCATCCACCTCTTGCCCATCAAATTATCCCTTGACCTCCTTCTCGAGTAGTTCTTTCGCTTCGTTAACCTTGGTCGCAAGGTATGGGCTACCGCCGCGATCGGGGTGGTTGAGGAGCATAAGCGATCGGTGCTTCTTTCGTAATAGTTCTTTCGTGATGCCGCGTTCGCTGAGATTCGTTAGTTCATGAGGCTCGTCGTAGAGGGTGATATATGCGGTGGGCCTACGGCATCTCTAATATGAGAGCAGCCTCTCTCCGTGTCATCTTGGGCTCGAAGCCGCCTTTGTAGTATCCACGTCCTAATGCTCCAGCTCCACCACCTGATCTCCGTAATGCCACGAGTGCTGCGCGACCCTATTCATAGGCGTCAGTACATGTTCCTAGTGTATTGTGATACTATAGCAGTTGCCGATCCAGTCAACATAGAGGCGTGACTCAGGAGATTGGAGGCCATACGAAGAAAGCAGTGGCACCGGCGCCCAAGATCCAGACCCAGGCAGACATCTCGTCGGACTATCTGGGCTCAACTATGCGGTTTCGGTGTTCCGGTATCGGGTAGTGTGAAGTCGCGATGTGAGTTAGGCGGGAGGATACGTCAGTTGGATATGCTTAGGTGGATGGCGGCGGCGAGGTGGTCAGAAGGAAATTTGCGGAGGTGCCTCGGTCGACAAGCATCGCAATTGGCGGGCCAGAATGGCAGGTGGGTTAGCACGCACGGGCCACCCAAAATTTCGAGCCGGCGAACTTCTCGAACCTCAACCTCCACACCTTTACACGACACCCGCCTCACCACCGCCAACTAAGTGAAGCGTGGTCGATCTTCATATATCCCGATCTCAGCCCGTGCTGACGATTACTGGACGCGGAAAAGCGCATACCTACCCACGATAAGGACGAGCGCGATCGCATTTGCGCCACGACGATAAGATGAGAATCGAGACTTGCTACTTCTGCTCTTCGCCGGTATACCCGTCCAAGGGTATAACCTTTGGTATGCATAAATAATCACACCTCAAAGAAATCCTTGCTGACTCACCAGTGCGCAACGATGCAAAGGCCTTCCGCTTCTGCAAGAGCAAATGCCACAAGAACTTCAAAATGAAGCGCAACCCCCGCAAGCTGGCCTGGACCAAATCCTTCCGCCGCGCGCACAACAAGGAAATGACCGTCGACTCGACCCTGACCTTCGCCCAGCGCCGCAACGTGCCCGTGCGATACAACCGCGACCTCATCCAGACCACCCTCAAGGCCATGGGCCGTGTATCCGAGATCAGGCAGAGGAGAGAGCGCGCATTCTACAAGGCGCGCATGCGTGGCAACAAGCAGAGGCAGCGTGAGGAAGACAGGAAGCTGGTTGAGGAGAACCAGCACTTGCTGCCGCCGAGCGAGAGGTTCGCCAAGGAGGAGGTTGAGCAGGAGGAGATGGAGGTTGATGTGCAGAAGGTCAAGGAGAAGGTCGCGGCTCGGAGGAAGGAGCTTGAGGCTGAGGAGAGCGAGCTCAGTGAGCTTGAGGAGGAGCTGCCCAAGCAAAAGACCAAGACGAAGAAGATGTTGAAGAGGAAGGTTGGAGGTGGTGTTGAGGCTATGGATGTTGACGAGTAGGTCTTTGTTGGGATACGTTTGGTATCTTCCACGATGTGACAGTACGATTTCGACAGTCATTAAACGATCTTCCGACATAGTCATGGAGTTTGGCGTCTCACTTATGGTAGATTACGGACATGATTTCGATACCACAGCAAAAGCATCTTTCCATCCCAAAAGCTCACGGCCGAGTGTAGCTTGATGCAGCATGTACCTGAGAATGCTTAGTCTTGTTGACACAACTTTATCTATTATGCGCATCGCACTGAGGTCTGCATCTTCATCAGAAATTATTCTAATCACGACAGTCTTGGGGAGCACGGCGTGCATTATGGGATAGCCGCGTCAAACAGTGGCTTCCAAGGTTCTTCCAAGATTGTCCACGTGATCATGCATTGACGCGCTAATCCTGTTCGAGGCTCGGTTTAAGGCTAGCTCAAGCGCTAATATCAACGGGTAATACTGAGAACGAGTCGCAGGCCGTCATACCCCTCCCAGTGACGGTCAGGCGAATGACTAGACCACAACACTGCAAGAGGCATTACAATGGTGCGTTCGTGGCTTTCGAATTTCTTCCAATGGCCACGCACCAGCTGTTCGGTCCATCGGTCACATAAAGCGAAAGGTTTCTAGGTCGATAGTCAACCCCACCTCCACCGCTACCTTCTGCTCGAATTCCCTACGCTCACTTGTGAGCATACTTTGAACCTTCGGATGCCTTGGTGTCTTTTGTTGTATATTTGGAACCCCAATCCTGTCTAGGCAATCTCCTCCGCGCATCAAATAATGGCCGTCTCTATTGTTGCAGGCGCTAGCGGCCTTCTCCAACTAGGCTTGTCAATCTCTGATGTAGCCTTGTTGTACGATCAAGGCAAGAAACTCGGCAATTTCGTTCGTGCCGGACACAATGACGACGACCTCTTTGATGTTCTTGATGAAGATCGAGAAGCGGTGCTCAAAAGGCGTGGACTTGCGAATGCACCTGAGATGGAGAAGAGATGGCCAATGATGGACTTTGTTCACCAAGGCGTGAAGATAAAGGGCAAGATCGTGCAAAGCTCGCGAGCCGAATCGTCTGTGCGCGACGCCAAACATCGAAAAAAGAAGGCGAGCGCTCGCGACGATGTTGACAGCTTCACGTGGGTCATGGTTGCAATAACTTCCGCGTTGGATGAATGCCTGCCATCAAGTGAGATCCAGGAGCTACTCATTGACGTCTTCGTCGAAATATTGGACCGCGACGATGACATTACACCTGCACTGAGAGTAACTATCAGAAAGAACATAGAGTCTTGGAGGTCGTTCGGATGTGCTAGGGAGATAGCTTTCGCGATCAAACAGGAGATGCGCAAGACTTTGTCGAATGACTCAGCCAGTCAGCTCTCAGCAGGTGCCATCCCTCAGCTGAACGAAGCAGAGATGGAAGACACGCAAAAAATGCTTCTGTGGCTCCTCAGCGGGGACCTTGCAGTCTTCGATGCGATGTCCCCGATTACTTTTTCAATGGCCGAAGCTTTCAAGAAGGCCAACCTCGACCTCTGCACGGATGGTAATCCAACCCACGAGGGACAAGCATGCGTCGCATATCGCCAAGAAGGACAACCCTTTGGAATGCCCGGCTTTAGCACGAAGTCGGTTCCAAGGGGGCTAAATTCCAGACCTCTCCAGATCTCGTGGCCTCGCGACAGACCTGAATCGATGATTGACGCACTTGGAGTCGGTCGGACGTTGGAAGACATGATGAGTGGTTCCTGGCAGCGCGGAAAATCTGCCGCTGGTGCTATGACATTAGTCGGAGCAGCGAATGGACCATATGGACCCACTGAAGAGGTCTATTACACGCTTCAGGTATCTGATAGTGCACACGTCAGTAAAAGATATGGCCCGCACATCGGTATGCTAGCCGACCAAGGTCTTCCCGCAGATACCGAGTACATATACAGTGCTTTGGAGTGGGTCCTGCAAGGAGAGACGCCAGAGAACTCGCAATGGCTCCACAGCCACGTTGCACAAGAGTACCTGCTTCGAGTCGACAGCGTAGAGGTGACATCGGATGAGCTACACAAGCCTGTATACTTCAGGTATCAGGCGTTCGTGTTTGGTTTCTACTATGAGCTTCTGACGCAGCTTATTTCTTTTCGACTGGTCGAAGCCAAGGCCTTCTTTCACGGGATATGGGGCGCGAACAGCACGACCTTTCTAGCTATGTGCACTCAGCTAGGTCGATGTTGGCGGAGAGACGGTAGAGTCAGTCGAGCACATATGCTATACGTGCTCTCAGCAATGTACAACGGCCGCCGCAAGATCTTTGACACAACCTCCAAGCTTCCCCGCCTTGTCGGAGTTCTTGGACCCATCTCAGTGCTGGCACTGCCCCTTGTCCGCACTACAGACGACCCAAAGGAGATATCGAGGATTGCCATAGTCGACCTTCCCATTGTCGACCTCAATGCCGAGAGTGCTGATGGTGACCTGATGGCAAGTGAAGGCGGAGGGATACGTTGGGCACCCCCTGGTGAGAACAATAATCCTACCACTATCACCCATCCGCCTGAGCCAAATGTTAAATGGACCGTGCACCCCTACATGAGCATGGCATTAGGTGGAGACGGTATCAGCGGCGTTGTCATGGCAGCTCGGTGTGGCAAAAGACTTGTTGGGTGGTTCAATCCACTGGCTGCCGACATTGCTTTTCTCAGTTCAGCCTACGTGAAAGAGTCTCACAGCGAAGGGGATTTTGTTGCATTCGAGGTTAAAGACGAAGATTGGGAGGCTGGTAAGGCTATAAAGCCAAGGCCGAGTCAGCCCGGTTTAGCACTTGGCGTCGTGCGCTCTCATAACTCTCCTAGTCAACGATACGCCGCTGCAGGTTTCTATGCCGAGCATGGCGAAGAGATAGCGATTGCTCGGTCTGCTGCTGAATTCCGTGGAGCCTTCGACATGATTGACGGACAAGATCAAGGTATTGTTATTGCGTGATTGCTACGCGCTGTTTTCTATGTCAAGTAACGTCAAATTGAACTACACTGTGCTTCACTTCGAAATATTCACGACGAAGTGCACATGTATGGATGCCAGCGGTAACAGGTTTATCAACATCGCGCTTTGCATGAAATGACCTATCATCACTACTGCGTCCATTGTAGCCGGTGCTGAATTTGACTTTGCAGGTTAACCTATTCTCACCAAATGGGGTTACCTGGGTACTAGGTAGGATCTGCAGCTTACGGATTAAAGTGGGGTGGATCCGTGCGTTGCGTGGATACCCGCCGCTGGTGCTTTCTTTCCATAACTGCGCGAACAGCATCGCCATCAGCCCCGTCTCGCGTCAACAAGTCATCATCGCTTTTGGGAAGATAACGCGTCGCAGAAATACAATGCTTCGCGCCGGCCGAAGACTCTGCATCGATTGACGTTGCCACTTCACGGCTGCTTCGATACACGCCGGAACTGGCACCACTGATTGCGCGATCGTCGGAGCACAGCTTTGTATCGTGCAGCCTTGCAGCACCGAGATGGCAACGCGAAGACGCTGCACGCGCGTCACAGCCTTGGGTCTTCAAATGGCGTCCTTTACCACTTAAGGCTGACATACTCCCGCTTTCAGAGGGCCCGAAGGCTCTCAGAGGCTTTACTGGTGGCAACGGATAACGCTAGGAGCGACTCACAGGCTATGATGGCTTCGCGGAGTGTGTCAGGCCAATGGCTACACTACAACATCCAGTACTCTAGCAATATTCCAAGTGTCTGACAATTTGGCTTGCCTCGAATAGATGAGCATGGCAGGTCGGCGACCAGACCAGAGAACGCTAAGTAAGATCCGCAGCCTGCGGGTAAATGCGGGGTGGGGGCCAAAGTATGTCGAACTGAGCGCGTGCTCACCACTCATCAACACGCGCCGCTGGTACTTCCTTTTTATACCAGCTCGGATCGTCTCGTCATCAACTTCGTCCCAGGCCAACAGGTCACCTTCGCTTCCAGGAAGGCAATGCGTTGCGCTGTTCGAAGACTATACATCGATTGACATTGCTACTCCATGGCTATCCAGGGCATTGTATCGCCCACCTCATCCAAATTTTAAGAGGAATAATAGGGTATTTGTGTTGCCTATATAGCGATTTTTTCGAGATAAGCTACCTACTAGGGTGTTAGCGGCTAAGCTAAAAAGGCTTAGCGCGCCCTTGCGCACACCTGCAGATAGAGTACGTGTTAAACTTTAATTATAACTTTTAAGACACCTAGTAGAGGGCTATTACCTATTTAAGACTTAATTTTTTTTAGATCTAAGATACCCCTATAACGTTGTTCACAGTAAATCATCCAGGGCATAGCCTTGTGCTGAGAGCCTAACGCCACAAAGGGAAGCATGTCTAAAATGAGCGGGAGTGGCTTTCAGGCATCCCTACAGCGCCACAATCGGGGCCGTCTGACCGCAGCGAAATGATCATGCTCCGCCCTGCTCCCAACGTTGTTAGTGCGTTCAGTCGCTCCCAGTCTATCCCTACAGATGGCAGTATTGCATAAACAGCTCACTTCTCTATACGTACGCAAAAAGTTGACTCTATCGGTATCAAGCTGCCAAGACCTTACCAGATTAACGCAATGCGCCTTCTACAACGTTCGTCCGACTCTGTCGGCTTCAGCCTTGTTGAACGGTTCAAGGAAGAAGTCCCGCCCTACGCAATCCTATCGCACACCTGGGGTTCGAACGAAGATGAAGTCACATTTTCAGATATGAGAGACGAGCGAGCCAAACGCATCCCTGGGTACAGCAAGCTAGTCTTCTGTTCCGAACGCGCTACTAGCGACAAACTAAATTTCTTTTGGGTGGACACATGCTGCATTGACAAGAGCAGTAGTGCCGAGTTAACGGAAGCCATCAACTCCATGTACAAGTGGTACCAGCAGGCTGAGAAGTGCTATGTTCTTCTTTCTGACGTGGAAATCGATGTGCCTGTCGCAGACATATCCGAGGAACAATGGGTGCAAATATTCCACAGCAGTAGATGGTTCCAGCGCGGTTGGACACTGCAAGAGATGCTTGCGCCGAGAGTTGTCGAATTCTTCTCGAGAACGGGCAAATCACTGGGCGACAAAGTCACACTGCTACAGGCTCTCCATCTTCGAACCCGGATACCTGTTCTGGCACTCCAGAGCGGTTCACTAGAAGAGTTTAGCATCGACGAGCGCATATCATGGATTGAGGGACGTCAGACGAAAAGAGAAGAGGATTCAGCATATTCTCTATTGGGTTTGTGTGACGTCTACATGCCGCTAATATACGGCGAGGGGTTTGGGAGGGCCTTGACCCGGTTGCGCAACGAAGCCGAGCGCTCGCTGCACGATAAAGTGCCAATCGATCTACCTGGGGCACGTCGATGGACGGTTCCTTTTCGGCGCGAAACCGAATTCCATCATGGCGATTGCTTGGAGAAGGTGTATCAGATATGCTCTCAGAACGGTGGCTGGGCGTCCCTGATTGGACCCGCGGGCGTTGGGTACGTTTCTCCGTTTATTAGTAGTGACAGGGTACTGATATGGCTATTAGGAAGACACGACTCGCTATCGAATACGCCTATCGAGTACGATTTCAGACCCCCACGAAATGGGTTTTTTGGATCAATGCAGAGACGCGCGCAAGTTTCAGAGAAGGTTTCAATGCAATCGCCGCAGCGGCGAAGATCAATCACTGGAACGACCCTTCTGTCGACATATGTCCAATCGTGTATAGTTGGCTATGCGATGTCGCAAATGGGCAATGGGCAATGGACAATGGTGGTTGACAATGCTGAAGATGCCGACACTTTCTTCGTCTCACGCATATCGCGAAATCATGCAACAGCGGATCCGATTTCATCCGTGGAGCGACTCTCCAATTTCCTTCCAATATCGCCCAACGGGTCGATCCTCTTCATCACTCGAAATCGAGACTTTACGCGGGGGCTCAGGGGTGTCAACAGTGATATTGCGAATGTCGACGTCCGAGACTACGCTTCGTTCGACATAGAAGACCACGTAATACCAATTCTTCAAGAAACTCCAAATGCTTCCGAATCATCACAGCTCTTGGAAGGCAACGTGGCTGCATTGCAACCAGACAAAAGTAGAGCCGAACCCACAGCGCCTAGAAAGGAAGTCCCCGTGTATTGGACATCCGTAAGTCTGTTTCGCGGTTCTTGCTGAGATACGCTAACATCCACATCAGCGTGGTAAGCGCATGTTCGACAAGTACGTTGACATAGACCATGGCGCTGTAAAGGAGCTCGAACGAGAGCTGCAAGCACGATACAAGACTCCCACGAAGAAGACGCCTCGGATCTTCGCACAGATACTGCGCACATCAAGTCGGCAGGGTGGAGATGGGAAAATGACAGACTTGGAGGCCGAACGGGGAGAGTGCGAGTTGCAGACTCGTTCCGGTGTACCCCGCCCAGTTCATACTACGGCCTCGTTTGAACGTGGATTCGAAGGTCGAGAAGGGGAGCCCCTTCGCTTGCTGGTCTGTGTGAACGCTCAAGGGAAGTTGAAATTGACGCAGGAGGATCTGCAACACATCAACGACGATCGTCAACTATTCCAGCACCTTCGAAAGCGACTTTTGGCCAACCAACATCGGGTGACCCTCACAGATATCAGAAGTTTCACTTTGGCCAAGGTAGGCTTCCAGGAGAGATATCGTCTTACTTGGGACTGACAATTCACCAGTTCTCGCTCGATTACAACAACGACCCTGTGGTCTATACACACCAAGATTCGTGTAACGTCTTGACTAACGGGCTTTACCATCCAGATTCGGGGTTCTATTGTATCTGCCTTCCGCCAGAAGAGATGGTCGGAAATGACAAGGAATACATTTGCAACCCAGCTCCGAGATCTCGAAACCGGCGACTGATGCCAATCCTTGGTTTCAACATGTTGAAACAAGACCTTCTAGATCCTGATGCTATTGCAGCTGGTCAAAGAACAGTCCTTGACCAGCTGCCGAAACGGAGACTCCCTGGACAACTCAAAGCCATTCCAGGAAGCGATGTTACAGGTTGGGGTCTCTATATTGAGGCGGGGCGTCCTTCGTCAAGACGCGGCTGTTGCCTATTCTTGTTCTTGGCGATAGTAGTGATCTGCTTCGTCGTAGGCTTTTCTTTCGGCCTTAGACGGCGATAGACCCGACACTAGAATGGAGGACAGAGGTCTATTATCTACATCTTACTCTCTTTCGCAACCTTCACAATAAACCCCAGGCGCGGAAAATGGATTCTTACATCCAACTCGGCCTTCTCATGCGGCTTGATGACAATCTCTTCGCTTCCAATCTTGGCCAACGTGCCCTTCGTAGGGTTACCGCGCCCAGTGTCATCTGGTACAACACTCACACTCGCCCCCGGTACCATCCCTCTCCGCGTATCAAGCACCTCATGCGGCGCAACCGCCGTAGGAACCAGCAGCTCTCCGTCGCCTAGCAAAGGCGTCCGTCTCAGCGCCTCCTTCCACCGCATATCGCCTTCCTTCACTGTTACTTGCGTATCAGGCAGCCCATCAATATATCGCTCAAACGCCCCGAACCACCTCATCAACCCCGGATACCTCTCCCCATTAAACACCAGCCCCACAACATCCTCCTCCCCATCCGTATCCTTCGCTCCACCCCCACTCAGATCCCCAATCCCCCTCCCAGCCCCAATATCCATACCCCACCGTAATTGATAATACAAACTCAAATCTGCCAAAGACGGCGTCTGCGTCGGCATCGCCCACGTTCCAGACGTAAACATCGGTTCCAGCATCGAGAGGTGCATGTCCAGAAGCGAAAGGTTGTCTGGGATCTTGGCTTGGAGCTTCTCGGGCTGGATGGGGTGGCCGATTAGTTGGGCGCGGTCTTTACCGAAATCCGAGGACCAAACTGATGGCGGTATAAAACCTGTGGTCGTGCGGAAGAGGGGTTTCTGCTCTCGTCAGCACCGATTTACCACACCTTCCCTTTCCCCTTCCCTTCCCCTTCCCTTCCCCTCCCTATTCCCTCGTCAAAGCAAACCCACAAAATCACAACTTACATCCGTCCAAAATCCCGCAAACCCCCTCGCCATCGCCCGATACGCCCACTCTCCCACCCCCAAACCCTGCGCTTCCGGATACACAGTACCCCAACCCTGATCTGCAGGGAAAAAGTACTCCAAAGCTTCGATGATGAGCGAGGTGTCGCAGTAGATGTGTCGTCCGATTGCTAGGATGGGGATGCGGCGGTACTGCAGGCCGAATGTTGAGGTTATGAGGGGGCGGGGGAGCATGGAGGGGACGGGGATGTATGCTAAGGTTGGGTGGGGTTAGTGATGGGTTAGTGATGGGTTAGTGGGGGGATGGTGATTGGGGAAAGGGTGATGGCTTACAGAAGGGGATTTGTTTGATGCGGAGGGCTAAACGGACTTTGTTCGTGAATGGACTTGCTGTACCGTGGTCAGTTTGTGTGGAGTATGTGATTGATGGGGATGTGCTCACAGTCATAGCCGAACAAGACCACCGGTGGGTAGTTCGTCGGTGGCGCCATGTCTGTTTGATTATATTATAGCAATTCTGTTGTTGTATGCGCTTCCAAACTGTAATTTTGATGGAAAAGATACAACGCAGTGGTGATGCCGAGTGGTGATGTCGTCGTACCCCGCCCAGCCATTCATGTGCCGAGGTCCTGGTCGGGATGTCCGGCATGCGACGTAATAGATCACATGTCGTTCGAGTATGTTTTATATTGTTTTATATGGTGTTGCCGATTATTTGTGGGTCGCAATGCCGATTCTTTCGCAGGAATTGGTAACTTGATTCACTTATTCCACGAGACAATTGCAGGGCGGAAGACGGTTATATGCATATTTACTGTGACAAGAGATAATGCAACAACAGTAGCTGTGCAGTGCTCTACAAACCCTCCTCTTGATTCAGCCTAATCCCCCTTTCAACAAGCCCTTCAATCCATCCGTTAAACTCTTCCCTCATCTCCGCAGGCAGCACATGCCCCTGGCCCTTGATAAAATGCTTCTCAATCTCACCTTCTTGCCAAACATCGTCCTCCTCTTCGACACCTAACCAGTTCTCTTTACCCGTCACACCCTCGCCCTTCTCCAATCCACGCCACAGCACAACGCCCAGCGGAAACGTCAGCATGCGATCTTTCGTTCCATGAACAACCATGATCCTGTTCTTGCCAACCGTCGTGGCGATCTGTTGGAGTTGCTCGGGGCTCTTATGATGCCACCCCGCGGCAATGGCTTGTAGCATGAAACCCGCCTTGCCAAAGTACTCTGGGTGCTGCCTTTTCCAGAGTTCGTTGGCGGCGAAGCGGTCGCCGTTTGTAGGGAAGGCTTGGACGACGGGTTCGAGCGTGTCTGGCGAGTCGAGCCACTCCTGCGTGTAGAGGTTCTTTTTCACGCCCTCGATTTGGGCGTCAAGGGACTTCGGGATGAAGAGGTTCGCGCGATTGATGAGGTTTTCGAGGAAGCCCTGGGGGTGTGAGTAGATGAAAGGTGTGTGATATAGTGCCACGTACGGTTGTTCGGAACAGTTGTGCGGCTGTTGATACTAGCGACAGTGTGCATATCCGCTCCGGTATTAACATAGCCTAGATGTTTGTTAGCGAGAAAGCATTTCGAAAGCATGAATATTGTCCGCAATAGGCAATTTCGCCGCATCCCCCACGATCGACATACACGACCGGAGATCATATGTGCTCTACTATCGAACACGTGGGGGCGGGGTCAATCGAGCGGAGCGGAAGATGAAAGCGCCGATGAGATTACAGGATGATGCTGGGTGTCAGAAGTCCTGAGGAATGTTTCTGGCGACTACATGTCGAGGATTTGTGTTCGATAACGGAACGTGTAGCTTCCGAGTCGAAGATCATGACGGAGAGAATGTGGTCGACTTACAATCTCCTGAGCTATCATCCCACCCATGCTTATGCCAATGACGTGCAGTTCACGCTTGCCGGTCCAGCCGATGTGGTCGAGCACTTCGACCAGGTCCTGAGCCATGGCAGAGGTGGAGTATCTCGACGTGGGTTTGTCAGAGTCGCCGATTCCCCGGTTGTCAGTCACCAGCGACGAATACTGGTCGCCTTTGTTGTGGGCAAAGTCCTTCGTCTGGCGCTGCCAGGCGTACTTCATGCCACCAAGGCCCATGACCCACTACATGGCGTCAGTCGTTGAGTCTTCACGATAACGGTGTATACGGAAGATGCCGGAAGCGGCTATAGAGTGAAATGTATAAGTGTGCGAGTTGGACAACCTGAGACACGACGCAGACGAGTTGAGACGGTCATTGTGACTGAAACGAAACGGTGACAGGGTGCCGGTACCCGTGGATTGGTAGAATCAGAACATTACAAATGCATCCCGGTCAAGAACAAGCTTTCTTTGGCGTGATATGCAGCGCATCATGTTGGAGCAGATATTAATACCGAAAGTGGGGCGACTTACCACGAGGTGTCTGTCGCCATGGCCGTGGACCTCGTAAGCGATGTTAAGGGGACCGCCACGGTCTTTGGCCACAACGGCCTTGCCTTTCTTTTCTGGTTTGAGGTCCCAGATGGTGTGGTTGAATTCGGGATGTTGCTGCAGCTCTTCGACCGTCATTGGTGCCATGGCGGGTAGTGGTGCCAGCCTCGATCTGGAAAGTTAGTCAGAGGTCCAGGTGGAGTGTCAGGCAGGTGGAATGTCAGGAGGGGCGGAGATGCGAGGATGCGACGGGAGTGGTGGCGCAGCAGGGTGGACGACGTTGTCGTGTGGCTGCCGCTCGGCATGTGTCTCTTGGTAGCGGTGTGCCCATAGCGCATCCCGGCAAGCGACAGGTACGCGAGCGTTGTAAGCGGAAGGGACCAGGAATGCTGACGTACTATTCTTGTAGGCGCTTACGAGCCCTGGAGTTGGGAGGTCTAGGCTGCAGAATGAGCAATTCTAGGCTTACAGAGTGGTATGCTCTAGAGTGGTCTTCAAGGGTCAAGGAAATGAGTTGTCTAGTAAAGTTGCTAGGCGTATAAAGTTCTTCACCTGCCAAACGCGTGGGAGAAGCAATATCGCAACGTCATGTCTGCTAGCCCGTTTTCAGCCCAGCTAACGTAACTCGTGTCTGACTAAGGCGGGCTGGACGCGCGAACTACGGACGACGCGGCTCTCTAGGCTGGCCGTAGTTATTGACAGTAGACGCGGAGAAGAGCTGCCTCAGGTGTCGTCTCAGCTGCTGCCCGTCGACTAATCACCCTTACCGCCATCCTCGTGTTGCCGTTTTTAGCGGGCGTTGCGCATCTGCAACAGGCCAAACAAGCTTTCTGCCTCACCCGTTCACCGTCGGCCACGATTCGACACTCGGCGAGTCTGCGACACCCACCCCCAGGGCCCTGTAGATGCGATCCTCGGCAGCGTTTCACCCTGCTCAGCACTAGACCTCCAGACCCCCAGCACGACACCCCTCCGCCCTCACAAAACACCACCAAGCCCCGGATACTCGCGAGGGCCCAACTGCCCGACGACCTCACGACTGACGACATAGCGCCTCCTAATACCCGTGGACACCATGAACCCCCCTCCCAACGGCTTCTATGCCACCGGCCCGCCCATGATGAACCCTCCGCCGCCGCGTCTGTTCGGCAGCGGCACCTACGACCCGTCGCAGATGCCGCCGGGCAACATGTTCAACCTCGACGACGACGACCACAACGACAGCGACCCCAAGCGGCGGCGCATCGCACGGGTACAGCGCGCGGACTTGAGGGTGACGACGGCATGCTGACAGGATGCAGGCGTGCGACATGTGCCGGAAGAAGAAGATCAAGTGCGACGGCAAGATGCCCTCGTGCACCCACTGCCAGAACTACAAGACCGAGTGCATCTTCACCCAGGTCGAGAAGAAGCGACAACCGCCAAAGGGGTAGGTGCGACCGTGGTGCTGCGCACATGGCATACTGACCGTGCACAGCGCCAAGTACATCGAGGGTCTGGAGAACCGCCTGGCGCGCATGGAGTCGCTGATGCGCCTCTCTGGCGTCCTCCCCGAAGACGACGATGGCAGCACCGACCTGGCCACTCTCGAGCGGCGGCTGGAGGCACGAGCCGGCCGATCCGCTACACCCCGGAATAGCATCGACGACCGACGAGCCTCCATGGCGCCGCCCACAACAGGCCACTCGACCGCCAATGGCACACCGGCCCAGCCAGCTCTCCCCAGTCCGAGGAGCGGCACCGCCTCACCAGAGCCCCAGGAAGAGATGGACACCACCAAGGACAAAGACAAGGAAGAAGATGCGCTCGCTGAGATGATGTGTTCCCTGGTGACAAACAACTGCGGAGAGACCAGATATATCGGTATGTCGTCCATAATCCTCGTCTTCACCGCTAATAATCCCAGGTTCATCTTCCGGTTTCTCCATCTTCTCGCCCAAAGGCATACAATGGGTCAACGAAAAGACCGGCGACAACTCCTTCCGCGACATGATCTCCACAGCCGCCGTCGAGGACAACAAGTGGATCCAATGGCGGCCCGACGTCTTCCAGGACATCTTCAAGCGCCGCGTCTACAAACAACTACCGCCCAAGCATGAGGCTCTGTCTTTACTCAAGGACTACTTCGAGAACTTTAACTGCATGTTCCCACTGTTCCACGAACCAACCTTTATGCATCTGGTAGACAAGCACTACTCGAAAGACCCATACGAAGGATCCGGTTGGTGGGCCAGTTTGAACGTCGCTCTAGCTTTCGCACATCGATTGCGCGTCATGAGCAATCTGGTCCCAGCAGAAGAAGACGAAAAGGCGTGGCAATACCTGAAGAATGCGATGAGTGTGATGGTCGAGCTCACCATGCGCAACACCGATCTTCTCAGTGTTCAGGCTTTGTTGGGAGTGGTATGTAATAACGGACTTGAAATATTGTCTCATCTAACGTCTTCAGGGTCTCTTCCTCCTAGGAACGCCAAACCCACAGCCTACCTACTTCTTCGTTGCCACCGCCATGCGACTTGCACATAGCATTGGCCTCCATAAGAAGGGTGCCAACTTCAGTCTCAACGCCGCCGAGGTCGAGCAACGAAGACGTGTTTTCTGGATAGCCTACATGCTGGACAAAGAGTGAGTCTTATATCACTGCACCAGTATACACAGACTAACCCCCACAAGCATTTGTCTACGATCTGGCAGACCACCTGTACAAGACGACGACGACATGAACGTCGAGCTACCGAGCGAGACCCCACCGGACAATATCGGCAACATCCCGCTCGCTGATGGAAAGGGTACCATGAACCTGTTCCGTCTCATGTGCACCTTCTCTGTGATCCAAAGCAAAGTCTACAAGGGCCTCTATTCCGTAAAGGCATCCAAGCAGACCGATGGCGAGCTACTCAATACTATTGGCGAACTCGACAAAGAGTTGGAAGCCTGGAAAGACGACATACCACTGGAGTTCCGACCAGAGCACGACATCAAGGCATCGCACACCCCACTCATCCTCCAAGTCGCAGTACTACATCTCGGATACTACAACTGCTTAACCACTATTCACCGCATGAGCGTACACCACGGATACTGGACCAGTCGACTGTCCAACTTTGCGATACAGGGTCTCAACGCGCGCCCTCTGAACCCCAGAGTCTTCATGTCCGCTCAATTATGTGTGCAAGCCGCCCGAGCTTCGATACATCTCTTGAAGTACATACCCAAGGGCGATTTATCATGTGTCTGGCTGGTCATCTACTTCCCTGTCACCGCTCTGGTCACGCTTTTCGCCAACATTTTACAAAATCCACAAGACACACGATCACGATCAGATCTCAAGCTGATGAAGCTGGTCGTCAACTTCCTGAACATGCTGAACGACGACCAAGGTAGTGGCAGTGTTAAGCGCATGTGCACGGTTTGCGCTGAGTTTGAGCGCATTGCTACTATCGTGCTTGAGAAGGCAGATCGCGAACACGCATCGCGGCGGAAGAGGAAACAGGGTGACAGCGAACAGGATGCTCAGATCGAAGCAACTGCGGCTGAGCTTCTTTCGACAGGTCGTAACCCACAATCCCCACCTCAGCAAGTTACGACCCCACAAAATCCACCCGCCCAAGAGGGTATGATCTTCAATCCAGACTTCCATGGGTTCAACGAGGTAAGCTACACCACTATTGTACTATACCAAAGCTAACCTGTTCAGCCATTCCCCTTCTCGCCAAACTTTACGCACGACTCATTACAACCTAATATCCAAATGAGCCAATACGGCTCACCGGGAATCACTGCACAAATGCTTCAGCAATCACAAAGCCTACCAATGACAACAGGCGGTGACATAAACGGCGTAAACGCAAACATCAACGCCATGGCCGGCATGGGCCAGTTCGATCAGACGCTGAACAACGTTCCACAGGATCTATGGAAGATGCCAATGACACTGGAATGGGATTGGGCGGATATGACTGGTGGCTTCTCGGGATACGAGGATGGCATCAGCATGAACGGTGTACTTCCGGATTTCTCGAATAACACTGGCCATGGAACAAGCGAGTTCAATCAGGGCGCCATGAATGGCGGTCGATGATGAAGCTTATTCGCAGCCCATCGGATGGAGCTTGCCGTCCCGACAATGGTGCTTCACAACATCGACCATTACGTTTTGACCCTTCAATGTCAGCAGAACATTTTACCCCGTCTGGGAACGGATGTTACCGCCCAACTCCAGCACGATCTTGCGTGCTTCGCTATATACCACTTCTCACCATCGGATGCATCTCTATGTATGCATCTAATTATGAATTTCGTAGCCGTGTAGAATAATGTTGTATCTCCAAGCAAATACATCTTTGTAATAGTACAATTGTGTAGCAAAAGTAAGCTCTCAAATCGTGGCGCATGTACGGTAATCACGTCTTGGTAGCCATACACACGGTCAATCATAGGCTGCCACTAAGATCGCGCTACGGTACATGATCCGGAGATCCTCGCTGTACGATGATGCTGACGCGCTTGACGTATGTCCGCCCAAAGATCTGAATATAACTGCCGACAACCCTGTGCTGATCACGTCGTTTCATCCAATGCCTCCTTCTCATAGCCACCTTACTTACCCTCAACCTTCATCTAATATTCTATCAGTACCATACACAATGAAGAACACAACAGCCCTCCTCTCCACCCTCATAACCTCCAACCACATCCTCTCCCACCACGCCGTCCTCGACCCCTTCGGCCACATCAGCGTCCGCAACCCAAACACAAACACCACTTTCTTCATCGCTTTGCAAATCGGGCCCGCGACCGTCTCCTCCCCCGCTGATATCGGCGAATACCACATCGCCGACGGTTCACCTCTTCCTGGTACTTCGGGTGGCTATGCGGAACGCTATATCCACAGTGAGATTATGAAGAGGTATCCAGATGTTAATGCGGTTGTGCATAGTCATTGTGAGGATGTGCTTCCGTATACTGTTTTAGATTCTGCTGGCAATGGAGATGGGGATGGAGATGGAGATGGAGGTGGAAAGGGAATGCGAGGGATGCGACCTGTGTACCATATGGCTGGGTTTCTGGGCGGGGAAGTACCGAACTTTGATATTCGGGATGTGTATGAGGAGGGGGAGCCGAGGGATATGCTTGTTGATAGTGTGAGGTTGGGGAGGGGACTGGCGGGGATGTTTGGGAGGAATGGGACGAGGGTTATGAGTCCTTTGCATACGACGGTTTTGATGCGCGGGTAAGTTGTCTCCTAGGCGATGAATGTATGGTGATTCATCTGCTGACGGTTTTTTCTAATGTATAGACATGGCTTCGTAACAGTTGGCGACGGGATAGAGCAGGTCACGGATTTTGCGTATTACGCGACGAGTAATGCGAGGGTGCAGACGAAGGCGCTGTTGTTGGCGGGGGCTCAGGGCGGGAATGTGAGATATCTGAATGGAGAAGAGAGGAAAGCGACGAATGAGATGAATCGCTGGATTGTGTTTAAGCCTTGGAGGCAGTGGGTTATGGAGGTAGAGAGAAGTGGGAAGTTTGTTAATGTTTTGGGGACACCGCCGCTTGACGTGGACTGAGGTTTGACACTAGGTGGATTAATTGATGGTGGTGTTCAAAAGGATAAATCAATTCGACCTTTGGAGCTAGAGAATCTACAGATGAGATGGCGGCAATGTTTGGCATAGTCGAATCGTGGGGTTGACGCCGATAGATCTGCGTGACGCCATCTGCCAAGCCCCAACAGCTCGGGAGCGGAGGAAGGCGGTAGGCGTGCTTCCTCTCCGCTCTCTGGACTGCCGTTCGTCCCCACTCACGTCACGTTGAGTTTATCCCACAAAAGGAAGCTCGATGTACTACCAAGACCTTAGCAGCTGAAACGACGTTAAGATGGCTGCGAGTTCTCCATGGATGCAGACATCCGCCTCCAATCCATGCCTGATAACGTGCTTATGCATACACATCACGACTACTCAAAAATTGACGTATAAACATGCAATGCCTCATCCTCAGCGAGAGATGTACCTCGCAGCACCTCTCAAACCATCTGCTAAGTCCTTAGCTTCGACCTCCGAAGGACCTCAACTTTTAAGGCATCGATCATCATGAGGACCTCGTACAAGACAGTCTTAGCTGTACTTCCACTCTACGCCACTACGACCATCGCGGATCGATATGCCAGCAACATACGACCGGTAATTGTCGATTCACCACAAGTGGCGGCCAACTTTCCCAACGTCGATGGCATTCAATTATTGTCACCGGCTTTCATAAATCCGGAGAACGTACCAGCGACGTTTGCGAACGGCACCTCCGGACCAACTCCACAGCGTGATCTGGGTAAATTCCGACGGCCACAATACCTGCATCGTTGAGATTGCTAATCTTCAGTAGAAACCTTCGTGAAAGGCCTCACCCAGCGAATCGGATGGATCACCTACAATAGCGACCTAAGATCCGAGGAAGATCGCGCGATACCGTACGTTACATTGACAAATGGCAAGAACAGCAGTAAGAAACTTCGCGTCTGGATCCAAGGAGGCCAGCATGGAAACGAGCCCGCAGGAGATGAGGGCGTGCTTGCACTGCTCGGAAAGTTTGCGCAAGACTCCCAGTGGAGCGCGAAGATCCTAGAAAAGATTGACCTTGTGATTCTCCCACGCTACAACGTTGACGGCGTCGAATATCTACAGCGACAACTGGCTTCCAACTACGATCCCAACCGCGATCATGCAGTGCTCGAGCGACAGCAGACACGAGCTATTCGAAAGCTGCAGTCTGAGTTCGATCCACACATCTTCATCGATGACCACGAGTATACAGGCGGCAACTTGGTAGCCGAAAAGTATATCCGCGCACAGGATCTCTTAGTGTCCGCCAACAAGAACCAGAACGTCAATCCTAGCATCCGAGCGTTGAACCAGGAATTCGTCGACGACATTTTCTCAGTTGCCGGGAGCAAAGAACTCAGGATCTTCCCGTACTTCACCACGAGTGTCGCAAATGGCACGATAACGATAGAAGAGCCTGATGCGCTTGCTGCGGCAAATCATAAGGGTGCTGGTAATTACCAAGCCCTGACTTTCCTTGTCGAGACGCGTGGTATTGCTATTGCGGATCAGCACTTCCAGCGACGCGTAGCTTCGCATGTTATCGTTCTGGAGACTATCCTTAATAAAGCAGTGGATGAGTTTGACGACATATACAACACCATCGAAGCCGGACGCAAAGCGTTCATCGAGAGCAAAGACGACATCGTCGTGACTTACGAGCAGCGCACCACCAACAAGACAGTCCCCTTCATCGACGCATCAACCGGCTCACTCGTCAACGTCCCAGTCCGTTCCCGAAACAGTGATCCTTCCATCGTCACCCTCTCCCGCCCCCGACCAAAAGCCTACGTCTTCTCGCGCGCGTGGGCAGACGTAGCCGAGCGTCTCCGTATCCTCGGTGTCACCGTCGACGTCCTGGAGGAAGACTTTGTCGGTACTGTCGAAGCGCTTGTAGTAACAAAGGCTGAGCTCGCTGAAACCAAATTCGAGGGCATTGCGGGTACAACAGTCACGACGAATGCGACGCAGCGCGCTGTTACTATACCCGCTGGCGGCTTCTACGTTGACACTAAGCAGAAGAACGCTGGGTATGCGTTTACGCTATTGGAGCCAGAGGGGGAGGCGAGTCAGGTGTATTACAACAAGATTCCGCTGGAGGTCGGGGATGAATATCCCGTATTCAGGGTTCAGTAGGCTGTCCGTACCGAGAGAGCTTTACGAAGAGTATACAACGTCTTTCTCATCCCTTCCGTTATTTGAATGGGCGGATTCAGTCATCGTGTATCTCGTGTGTGTTTCAGGAGTCGGAAGAGCATACAAACAACCCATCTGCCGATATTGTCCGACTTCTCCATCCAAACAAACATGCATAACCCCTTCTTCAGCCCTACGTTTCTCTCATCGACGGTACTAGTGCCCGGTGTCGTGCTTCTAGTGGTGTTCTAGCTGTCTCCATCCGAATCAAGTGTCGTAATGGTGATCTAGGTGGCCTGATACCAAGTTTACCATGTATACCCTTGGTTCTCATTGTTTGTAGGGCCGAAAGAACCAAAGTCTATTCCTCGCGATCGTGAGAGTAGGTGGGCCGGGGGTCAACGTGGATGTAGTGTACGGTAGTTGCTAGTGCTTACTGCTGTCAGGCGAAGTTTAACCGGCAAGAGTGCTTGTTTGTACTGTATGTTGGGAGTGGGTGGTAAAGATCAGTCTGAGCAACACTGATACTCCCATGGGAGATGGATATCTGGCATAGTCATACTCACGCTAACAATTCGTAAACCGCTTCTGTTACCAATTCATTCTCATAGATATATATACATGAAAGTCATACCCGTACCAACCCCTCACATAACGGAACAAAACAAAGCCGAGATGTAATGCGCGCGTAGCCATAGGCTAGAAGTCGTCTAAGCACTTCCACCGAGCTGCTTAGTGACAAACTGGGTACCCAAGTTCTGCGTGGGAGTGTCCCTGGGGTACTGAAGATGCTGAGCGTTGATACCTTGACCGTGTGTAGTATCGCATACACCATCGCCCTATCATCCAACAATTAGCAAAAGCGCTTGAAGCCAAAGGTGAATGAGAAAAGTAGGGAACTTACAAAGATGCACACATCCAGCGTCTTGCCTTGCCAGTTACTCGGAATGCCCCTGCTCAGCGCCGCAGACAAACCATTGACGTTCTTGGTAGTGGTACCACCGTTATTGTCGACGTTGCATGACAATCCCGACTTATGCGCCGGGTCACCAATGAGGAAAACACCCTTAACAGCATCAAAATTCGCGCCAGTGAGCTGAGACATCGCATTCACCGTCGCCTGAGCACCTTGACTGTATCCCTCGAGGATAAAGCACTCATCCGGGTTCGTGCGTAGTGTAGACTGGACTTTGTTGACGATGTCTGCGGTGCCGGCAGCGCTGTTCTGGCTGAAGCCGGCAGCGTAGACGGTGTTGTAGATCTTGCCGCCTGAGACTGCGGACTGGATGTTGCGGTTCATGGTGCGGAAGCCGGAGGATTCGCCTTGGATCTCGCCGGTGCCGCGGGTGTTGATGATGGTGTAGGAGGAGCATGCGGCGCGGGTGGAGAGGTTGTCGACGGGGGCAGTGGTGGAGAGAGCGAGCAGCGAGGCTGCGGGGAGGATGGTGGAGAAACGCATGATTGGTGTGTGAAGATGGGTATGGGTATGTGAATGAATGTATGAGATATGACAGTGAGAGAAGCAGAGCTGATGATCTTATCGTCAGGGTGGTATCGATATTACAGCGGATCTTCTCTGCCTTATATATCCACCCTTCCCCCCATAGACAACCCGTGTGTAATAGGAAAAAGCACCCTCTACTATCCATAGATCCCACCTCACCTCGGCAGACATTCTTAGCGCGTTTCACTCGCCGATCCCCAGTCTGCACCTCTACACCGAATAGGACGGAACCTGCATCCGCTTCGGAGCACTAAGTCATAATCGTGGCCGTCTATCACGTAGGCGCCTCGATCGACACATGGCCTAACGGCTGTCACCGTCTGGAGTGGGTAGAGATCGTCTTTACCTTCTCGATTCGGATGACTTCATGACCAGGAACGGGGATTGCGGGTGAGGTGTCGTGACGGGTATTCGGTGTCTCTGTTCATGCATCGACGCCATTGTGTAAAACATGTATGTCATATGTATCTTTGCTTCCAGGATACCGATGGCGAAAAGTGGCGCGGCGAGATCTTTCGAAACTCCTCAGCCTTGATAGTGGCTGAGGCGGCATGGAACATTCCATCCTATGCCGTCTACTCGAAACAGCCAGGAAGTGGGGGTTGAGTCTCAAAACCTCCAATGACATGGCAAAGCGCATGCATCGTGCCTCGGGGTAGCGACTGCACCATGGTGGACACTGGACCACCCGGCGCGCCTCACAGTCTCTAGGCGCAGGTCCTGAATCGCTCATGCGGGTCCGCGGATTGTTGGCCTTATCACGTGTCCGAGTAAGCCTTGGCTTTAGTGTTTCTCAACTATAGGAATTTAGAAAAATCTCAACTTAACAACTAAAGTATACTATAGTTATGTGCTGCAGCTAATGCCTAGATAAGATAGGAGTATAAAAACTTCGCACCTGTGCGTTGTTCCTTCTTCCCCTATCTCTATCTACACACTCTAAGATGGCGACAACAACAACAATTACTCCACGAGCCACCTTCAAGTCATCATCAGACCCCGGCGGTTCCATTGTTGGCCTTACCACGTTCGGTACACCTGCCTGCTGTTTGTGGTTTGGAGCCTGCCGCAAGGAGAGCCCCCAATTATTGTACCTTGCCGTCGATCGGCATCGAGCCTCGGCACGGCAATTGAACAAGGGGAGGTGCAGCGTCGGTGGAAGTACCACAAACGGATGGTGAGGATGTGGAAGTGAGGTCGGAAATTATCGAAAAAGCAAGTGAGTAATCAGCCTAGCGCGGGATAGTCAAGTGCAACAGCGGCGCGAACAGTTCGTCGAGAGAGCTACAATGCAGGTAGCGGACACTGACAGAAGAGGTGTAGTCGTCGTGCGTTGGTGTGCCGAAACCTGGGCCGATCTTCCTACTCGCAGTATGGTACGGGTGATCGTTAGCGGGTCCCGCTGATCCGAGGAACGGCTCTAGCGCAGAGCTATGCCGGACGTGGCAGGCTAAGCTCCGAAAGCTTCGACTTCAGGATGGCATCTTGACCGAGATGTCGGCTGGATGTTGACCGAGGTGGCAGTAGGTGAGTGCGATGTTCAAGCGGAATGCGATGTGTGCCTGATCGTTGAGCCTTACCCCGCCAGATCATATCTAGGGTGACCCCGCGGGAGCGAGCAGCAACGTAAGCGCAACAGCTGATCGATCGTGGTTTTCACAGGAACTGCCGAAACGGCGAATTCAAACCTTGGAAGGGAGCGACCGAACGGTGACATGGAAACTCTAAGTGACGTCTTTGCGCTAGACCATGTGTCAAAAGGTTGCCTCAAAACGTCGCCACGTGTGACGCTAGTTCCACTTCTCTTCCTCGTCATTTCACTCTCCAGGTATTCCCGACTTATATGCATCGCGACGACTCGTATCGAGGGTTTCGTGTCCGCGGAGTATCCAATGAGAACATATCTTTCGCCAGGCCCTTCGGTACATCTTGCCGCTTCCACACGCTTCAGTCTTCCATGAAGTCGTCCCGCAACGGCTTTTGATTGCAATGACAGGATCCCATGAGTACAGAAGTAAAGAGGTAAGAAGCTTGTAGAATGCTGATTGATATATGCACGTCCAGAGCGACGCTCAAGATTCGAGAACTGGCGGCAATGTTTGAACGGAAGCCAGCAACCGACACATCGGCGACGTTCCTTTCGATTTAGATCAACTTCCACGGACGACTGAACCCATCGAACCTCCAAGCCAGTATTTTGGTGCCATTTTGAAGACGTCCTAGTCTGCTATTCCCTTGCACCCACAGACGAAGCAGGACCATGACATGGTCAAACAGATTTTTCGGAAGATCATCAACTGGTCGATGTAAGCCTTCGAAAAAGAAAGTCTTTGGATAAGTGTAGGGAGTTAGATTCCATAACCCACGGATATGTTTTTATGCACGCAAAACTAGCGCGATCGCCACCCGGACAGTATATAAATCCCGCGAGGTGGTATACTGAACGACTCATAAAGCCAGTATGCGTTACCAAACCTCCAAAAGGACATTAGATCTGGGTGATGTTCTCTGTGCCTTTCTCCGCAGTCATATATCAGCGCAGTGTCTTTTTCGAAACTTCCAAACACCTGTGCAAATAGTCATATTCATGCGCCCTTTCTCCATGAGTTGTTTCACTCTGGTTCTTGCTGTCGCACAACGGGGAGACCGATAAGCTCACACCACCTGTTTGACTTTCGCGTTTTTCGAATTCCCATCCCAAGAACTCTTGTAGTTTTGGAAGAGTAAAACCCGCAAAGTTCTGGTCGAACAATAAGAGCACAATCGTGCAACCTTGGTTTTATATGCGGCTGGAACGGAGGCTCACCAGCGCCCAACACATGGAATTGTACTCAGCGACTTTTACTTCCATCAATACATGCCTGGACCTTACTGGAAAAGCAAATTTTGGGACGCTTTGCAAGATGAATGGAACTTGATCCATCAGATGGCGGGTTTTACACGTCGCCCGACTGGAGACCGGCAGGCGCACCGCATATAGCAGTCGATGTTGTCTTTCGTTCTCCATGCTCAGGACAAGCACGTATTTTGGACCACCGGAAGCCATAAGATTGATGTAGAAGTGATGCTTCAAGGCCAGCTAGAAGGTAGGATTGAGTTGCGAGTCGCACAGAGACCGGCAAGCGAACCGCATGTACGCATCTTGGTACTCTTTCAATCTTCATGAAAAATGTGTCGTTATCTTTCGAGCTATAAGATGCCAGAGTATATGTACAGCAGGAACATACTTGCAAGGCTCGAAACCTTGAGAGGTAGATTTTGAACGCGGGCTATACGGGGGCAGCCGGAAACGCCACATCAGGGTGGATTGACGTAGTCTTGATCTCCATTCACGGGAATGTCGTGAGTTTTTGGAAAATTGGAAGCTGGTTTGTTGGTGAAGGAAGGAGGCGTCAATAGTCCTCGGATTGATGGTCTTTTATACACGGATCGAGCGGAGGCGCGCAGACACACCGCATGTCGGACTCCAGAAGGCGTTTCGGTCTTCATATAGGAAATGACTAAGCTTTTCAAGATGTTTGAAGCCAGGATGTCGGCACAAAACAGACATATCCATTATCATGGGGATGTTGAAAGACAAGTTTTTGAAGCAAGCCTCACGGAGACGGCCGGACACGCCACATGAGGTTGTTTGAATTCCTTTTTGATCTCCATGGAAGAGTCCGTCGCGTTTTTGAATAACTCGAATCTAGAGTACTGATAAAGGAAGGATACTTTGAGAGCCACCGGAAGGTAGGGTTTATATGCGGAGTACAGTCGGACCAGACGAGCGCACATGACCTTGTTGCACCTTCTTTTCAGCTTCTCATGTAACTGTCCGCTATTCCTTTTAATGGGGGCAACTAGCCAGAGTACTATCAAGAATTACGAGGTATGCTTTTGGAAGTCTAGTAGCTTGTATGTGAGCAGGAAAGCGAGAGCGGAGGCACACAACATGAATTTTTGCTGGGAGATTTTCAGATCTCCATGTTGTAATGTTGTCAGAATTTCAGATAGATGCAAGCCAGAGCTTCAGAGCCAAAAGGAAGATATAATCATCAAAGAGCGGTAATTTCGATAAGTGCGGGAGGACGGGGGGCAGACAGACATAACGGGTCCTGAGTTGTATTTTCTGGAACTCCATACATTGCTCTGTATATGTATTTTAGTAAAACGAAGCCAGAAGAATAGTGTAGAAGTGAGAGTCTAGTCGCGACGAAGATGATTTTTTAACATGCGCGCCGAGAGAGTGCAGAGGCACAACATGAAGCATAGGCAGCGCTCTTTTAGGTCTTCATAGGGGCAGGCATAATTTTTTTGGTTTTATGCATACTGGAGGCGCAGTATCGAAGTGGAGTTTGGATAACCCAAGGATACGTAGATCGTGTATGCGCGCGACAAGACGAGAGACACGCACACAATATGTTCATGTTGGTACTTTTCTTTTAATTCTCCATAGATAGCACGACGTGTGTTTTGAGAAAAGACAATCAGAAGAGCAGCATTAACGTGTAGAAGTAGTCGCGACAGAAGAGGTGGCTTTTGTATGCATACAGAGAGAACGCGGCGACACACAGCATCGTTCTGGAGTAGACGCTTTTCGAAATTCCATACTGGGTACTCTCATTGCTTTAGGCCAAAGAAGGCCGGAGTATTGGAGTCGAGTTGGAAGTCCAGTCATGATCCCGTAGCGTGCGTTGTTCGGTGGCAGAGAGAAGGCGCAAGCGCAAACATGCACTGATAGTTTCCCATGTTTTGGTTTCCATAGGAACTCCCGTCCTCCGTTTTGGTAAATACAACTTGGAAGGTTGGCGTAGAAGTGAAGCCGTTGTTGCCAGAAAGAGACGTCTTTATACGCGACTGAGCCGGGGACGGGCCGCTCTCAACATGTCATTGTAGTTGCGGAAGTTTTTGAGCTCTCATAGAGTCTTTCGTGGTTTGTTTTTGGTGAAACAAGGCACCGAATGTTGGTGAAG